TATAGTGAGAAATATTTACACAAATCAGCACATAAAAAAATCTGATAAGAAAAGCCAGATAGTAAAATATCTGGTGATTATATTTTTTAAAACCACAAAATTAATATTCATAAATATTATATGCAATTATATGCAATTAGATTTATGCATAAGATATCTTTTCATGCCTATAAATACTTCCAAGATTTTACAATTGCCTAATGCACATAATGCTAACTCAACCTTAACTTCTTACCTTTGGTTCAAATTGCATGCAATCTGTGAATTAAGAAAAATGAAAATTAAGGTACTTTCAATTATTACACGTTACAACCTACCACATTATCAGAATATTTTTCAGAAATTAGATAATTAACCAATAGTTTATATGGATTATTTCAGCATGTAAAAACAAGAAAATAAATTTCAGAATATATGTGATATACTACTTGAAATGTGGATTTCCAAAAGGATTCTAATGCCTACACTTATACAACAAAATCAAACATGACTATTTTGTTTCTAATTCTAGCAGCCAAAAAATGTCTATGTGCTGAACTGCAGCAGAAATCTACAGCCTACAGTTTAAAATAAACATGTTTTGCAAGTCCCATACACTTTTATGTTAGTGGAATTGTCAGAATTCAGTTCAACTGAGCCCCCCAGTTTTATAGACTGAAAAACATTTCAAAAGCCCAAAGGGCAAGATTTTATAACTTTTTTTGCCTCAGGGTCAACCTCCTATGAGGTGGAGAGGCAAAATACAGAAAAACCTTGGTCCCAGTTGGAACACTCTAGCAATGGACTGTACAGAGTACAAGTATCTGTTGGTATAATCACTTTGGGCCATGAATCTATCTGAATAAATACAACAATTAAAGTACTGAAGTACTGAACTCAAAAGTAAATAGAAACATCAACAAACGATAATCTTAGAAAATATAAAATATTTTAGCTATCCTTTAGCACATGCACAACATTACAATTAAAATATATTAATTGTTACTGTTTTAAACAACATGGATAAACAACAAATCATTATATAGGAAATCCAAAACTAAATGTGTTCACCTCTAAGAAACGCTGGGGATCACACTCATCTAAAAGCTTTTCACAGTCGATCAGAACATTTTCAACTGTTTTCTGGTGAGCTTCTTTCATATTCTTCCATATAAGATGCTCCTTCTCTTTTCTTTTTTTCTGGCTTTCAAGGTTTTCAAGTAACTCTTTCTTTCTTGTTTGCAAAACATTACAGAGTTTTTCAAATTCAGTTTTAATCAACTCCTCTTCATTCTGCATTAGGTCCTAGAGTAGTAGTTAGATTTAATCAAGAAATTTAGACTTCATTTACATTTCTCCAAGGTGCACATACATGATGTGTAAATGACAAGAGAAAATGTATGAGCACTGAAATACTCCTGCCTATGAAGTCAAAATACCAGCAAGCAGTTCAAAGCACTAGAATTTTTTTTTTTTGTGCTTTCAAGTCAGGGTTGACTTCAAAAACAAACAAAAATGTTAAGTCTGCATGTGTGAGGTGGGCAATCTTTTTTTGACTTTGGGATTGCAATTTCTTTCTGAGCCCAGCCTGGGGGAAGGGGGTCACAAGAGACACTCCTAATGATATCATCCTATCACTGTAGTGAGTGGGGCAGAAATTTGCAGATATTTAAAATGTTTTAATTTGTTCCTTATCCCCTACTCCCCCATCACTATTCATAAGGGCTATTCCAGATTTTTAAAAGGTAAATCATGAACCTTAACTCTATGCAAGCCTGTCAGTACCCACCTCTACCCAACCAAAAAATGCAAAATTTGCCAAAGGTTGGAACATTTCAAATCTCTCAGGGGCTCTGAGGACTTCAAGCAGCCCACAGATTTCTCACTTCACTCTATCATTAGGTTGCAACTCTGACCAAAACTGAATGCTGTAAGGACAGCAATTTTAGAAAACAGAATATATTTTTTTTTCTGATGAAACTGCCTTTGAAAATAGTAAAATTAGACAAACAGACCGGACCTTCGTGGGAATGTTGATTGTTTATTATTAAGGAAAGTAGATAGTTGGTGGATTTTACAAAATGAGATAAGGGTAATATGAACCAGACTGTGTGACTGTAACTATGGAGAGATAATTGGAACTAAAGTGTTAAAGATAGAGAAAAGCAAAACAGAAAGAAAGAAAAAAGGAGAAGCCTGCCTTTTACTTTCACCCTAATAACTGGCATACTTTCACTTTTCATAATGGCAACCACAAGAAAAGCTGCAAGATTAGGAGAAGGAAAGAAAGGTTCACTATAACAACTTATCAATAAGGGTATTACACCAGATTTATTGCAGAAAATGAACTTGTTTTCTTGTTCTGGAACATATTAATCTTGGAGATAATTTTATTAAATGGGTAAGATCAATTTATACTTCACAGAAAGCACAAATCATTTTTAATGGAGAACTAACAACACCTTTTGAGATTCAAAGAAGGACAAAACAAGGATGCCCACTGTCTTTACTCTTATTCATTTAAGTTCTTGAGGTAGTGAGTAGAGACATAAGACAGGATGAGAGAATCATGGGAGTTAAGATTAAAAAAGAAACTTGTAAGTTAAGAGCATTTGCAGATGATCTGGTGTTAGTTTTGGAAGATCCGCTAGAGGAGTAGAAACATTAATGAGAAAATTAAAGTACTTTGGTATGCTAGCAAGTTTTAAGACTAACAATCAGAAGACAAAGATATTAACAAAAAATATGAAATTAGAAGATCAGATAGAACTGATGGAGAAATAGGTTTTAAGACTGAAAAAAAAAGTAAAATGCTTGGGTAATACTATGACAAATATGAATTGTATGTTATTTCAAAATAACTATGTTAAGACATGGAATGAAATTAAGAAGGACACATTAAGATGGGAGAAATTAAAATTGTCACTATTAGGAAGAAGTTCTGTGATAAAAATGAATGTTTTGTCTAGAATGATATTTTTGAAAATGCTTGGGTAATACTATGACAAATATGAATTGTATGTTATTTCAAAATAACTATGTTAAGACATGGAATGAAATTAAGAAGGACACATTAAGATGGGAGAAATTAAAATTGTCACTATTAGGAAGAATTTCTGTGATAAAAATGAATGTTTTGTCTAGAATGATATTTTTGTTTCAGAAAATATCTGTTTTGACAACTGATGTACCATTCAAACAATGGCAAAAAGATATATCTAAATTTGCATGGCAAGGGAAAAAACGATGAGTTAAATATAAAGTGTTACAAGATGCAAAGGAAAGAGCAGGACTGGGTTTACCGGATTTGAAATTGTATTGTTGCAGTTTGTTGTTTGGTCTGGATGAAAGAATTGATGTTGCTGAGAAACAAGAGACTTTTAGAAGTTAGAAGATCATGACCTGAGATTTGGATGGCATGGATACTTATGGTACGATAAAGTTAAAATTAATGTGGATTTTAAAAATCATTTTATCAGATGTGCCGTATTGAGGATATAGAATAGATATAAACCCAGATTGTGCCTGAAAACACCTCCACGGATCTCAGCACAAGAAGCATTCCATAGAAAAGAAACAGCAGGCAAAGACAAATGGTTAAGGTACCAGGAATTATTGGAAAATCATCAAGAGGAATATAAGATTAAATCAAGAAAGCAACTAATAACAGAAGGATATAGTTGTCAATGGCTCTCCCATTTACAGTTATCAGAAACATTCACAATGGATGAAAGGACTTATGGTATGGAGCAAAGTAAGACAGAATTTGAAATACAATTGCGCACCAATGATGAACATGTATTTGCTAAAATGTATAAACTTTTGTTCAAATTTGAAACAGAGGAAGGACATGTTAAAGAATGTATGATAAAGTGGGCTAAGAATTTTAGTTATGTATTATATTATATATATATATTTTAATATATTATATATACATAGTTTTATTTATATATATATATATACGTATGTATGTATGTATATATATTAATATGGGGACTGTCTCACCCCCATCACATCAACCCGTCCCATGTGGTCAGGCAGAGAGGGCATGTTGCGGACCCCGTCAGTGAGAGAATGTTGGCTGGTGGGCCCCAGGAGGAAAGCCTTCTCTGCTGTTGCCCCTGCCTTTTGGAATATTCCCCCCCAGAAGTGCGGCAGGCCCCTACCCTCCCGGCTTTCTGGAAAGGATTAAAGGCTTGGCTCTGCCAGCTTGCCCAATCCTGGGGGTGGCTGGTGCCTTGATGACACTCCCTGAGTGACTGCCAATTTTACATCTATCCTTGGATCTATTTATTTTTTATTTATTAAGATTATTGTATATTGTAATTTGAATTGATTTTAATTGTTCTGTAAACCACCCAGAGTCATTTCAACGAGATGGGCAGTGACAAATTTGATACATACATACATACATAAAATACAGATGGATCAATGGGAAAATATGTGGTTAAAAGGGTTGAAATTTACATTATGTTATTATCTTAAAGAGAACTTTTATAAAATGATGTATTGTTGGTACATGATGTCAGAGAAATTATCTAGAATATATAATGGCATTTCAAATGTATGTCGGAAATGTGACCAACATGAAGGGACATTTTATCATACTTGGTGGACATGTAAAAATGCTAAAAAAAATTGGATTCAAATACATACATTGATACAGAGAAATTTAAAGATTAATATTCAATTGAAGCCAGAACTTTTCCTTTTAGGATTGATGGATAAACAGAAAAAAGCCACGGAGGATTATTTCAATACAGGCAGTCCCGGGTTAAGAACGTCAAGTTACGGAAAACTCATACTAAAAATGGTGGATGGCATTCTCCTTCCTGGAGCTGACAAACCACTGAAAGTACACAATGTTTTCATGAACCACAGAAGCCGTGCGTTTTTATTATATAGCCTGTTTTCAGTGATTCATGAAAACATCACGCAGCTTCAGCAGTTTGTCGGCTCCAGGAAGGAGAGCGCCATCCGCCATTTTTAGGAACAGGCTGCCTGTTTGTAAGTACGAGTTCCAACTTACATAAAAATTCATATGTTCCCAAGATAGACTTAGGAATGGAACTCATTCTTAACCTGGGGACTGCCTATATATAATTATTGAGGCAAGATTACTATATGCACAAATATGGAGATTCAGCACTACCTGTCATGGTGGGGTCAGATTTGGAGTCAGAGGAGGAGCAGTTAGCTCCAGAAGTGCCCAAAGACAATGAGCCATCAGCTCCAGAGGCACCAGACCGACCTCTGCCTGGACAGGCAGAGGAGGTGGGGTTGGCTAGTAATCAGCAGAAACAGCTGTCCCAGCTCTCCAAAGATGAAGGAGTGGAATTACCCCGCCCTCCCAACACAAGAGCTTGGTGGGCTCCAAAAGAGTAGAGCAAAGTGCTCTGAGAGATTACTCACAAGGAAAGAGTCTTGCCCTGCTAAATGAACTATACCAAGGTTGCTTCTATTAAAATGGAAAAGTAAATTGACGACAACCATCTGTTAACCCCTGCTCTGTGCACCTTGATTTTGGACCTGTGAACCTCAAGACCTCAACTCTAGACCCGGACTGGCTGATGAACCTTGTACCCAGTTTAGACCTTTGGACTTTGCCTGACTACTTTCTCTCTCTGCCTGCTACTTTGGACTGTACTCACTAAGGCAAGCTTGCTAAGTATTGGGACTTGTTGCTTTATTATGTGTGTGTGTGTTTGCACTTGTATTTACTTTACCAGCCATTTCTAGTAAAGTGTTGCAACTACTACTTTGTATGTTTGTGTTGGCCTGGAACAGGACACTACCTACCATGGAGGAATGGCTTATGAAATTGATAGAACTTGCTGAGATGGTCAAACTGACTTCTTTGAATATCTACATTTATTGGTGATTGGAAACCCTTTATGGACTTTTTGCATAAAAATGAAAAAAAAATGAACGTGATTTATGGTTTTGATGATTAGACAGGATAAATTATAGAAAGAAGAGAGTCATGATTTAACTTTAGAGAGGTTAAAATATAATTTTATATAATTTGTAACTGTTCTGAAGAATATCCAAAGCTACTTCTTTATACCTTTATATCTTTGATACTTTTTTTTCTACTTTTTTCTGTTTTCTTTTCTTATTGCACTTTTAACTTTTTCTGTTATTTCTCTCTCTTTCTTTTCTTTTCTGTTCTAATTTAATTTGCATTAGTTATTATTGCTCTTAAAACTTTTAATAAATATTATATATAAACAGATATATAATAACGACCTTTTCTATTTTTCCATTGTCTTGCCAGTGGTTAGTAAAATCCCTCTCTTTGGCAGAGCTACAAATGGCTATTCTTTAAAGGACACCAGAGCTCTAGAGAAACAGGGTAGGAGCAGAGCTTTTTGAAGAATGAGAAAGGAACAATTCAGACTCTGCCATGGGTATATTAAAATCAGTTCGAATTACATTATTCTATCATGTGATTGATGCTCTGCTTGCATCTGATGCCCACTGCTGTCAAGTTCCTATCTATCTTACCTACAAATTCCTATAGCATGTTTTTCTATGTATTATGGCCCATATTCAGTCTGTGTCTAAATCTATTATTTCTTATAAAACAGCCAATAAAGATGCTGGTCCAGGCCCAAGTCATCTTTTGCTTTGATTACCGCTGCTTTATTTTATGCAGTCTTCCTTTGCCTTGGTTCCTGTCCACCAGAATCACCACCAAAATCATTCTTTCTGTCCTGAATATACGATGTTCCTCCTTAAATTCATGGCTTCTAATGCAGTTGTAGATCCTGTATACATTCCTTGTCCTTACCCTCAAAACTCACCAGTCAATCCGCTTTTATCTTTCCATTTATACCCCAAGATATCATTCTCCTATGATCTTTATTTGAAGCTCCAACCCTCAGTTGTCTACATGCTTCTACTCTCCAACAGGCCTCCATACCTTTTCCTTTTTTTTCCTCATTCAAATAATATTCAACTACAACTAAGTAATGCAAATACTCCATATTTATGTTTGATCTACTAACTTTTTTTTAATGGGTGTGGAGCTTACAAGTAGGTTTTTACATTGTAAACTCTTTGGAGCAGAAACCTGTCAAATTTATTCTTTGTAAAGTACCACATACACCAATGAGAAGACATGCTTATGACAGAATTGGGAAAAAATACTTTCATTGTATATATGCACAAACATAATCTATTGGTAAAATATTTTTCTCAGCAACCTCTCAACTTGCTAATTCATCTTACCTTTTCATCTTTTGGAGATACTGATACTTCCTTCATCAGTTTCAGTTGCAATTCTCTTATTTTCTTCACGTTACTAAAGAACGCTAGCTGTAGAAAAGGTAGTTTAAAAAGTTAAACCAATCTGAGATGCACAAAACTTTGTGTAAACATCATTTTTAATTACTTCAAACATTTTGCTTAAACTAAAAGCTATCAACAAAAATGTTTTCCAGCTTTAACATTAGTATCATATTGCTTGGCTAATACAGGAATATTTTCAGCCTAGTTTAGATTTCTGAAAATTATATTCAAAAATAGGAGTGTATTTCCTAACTTTATCTATTATTTGTTAGAATTCTGTTTATAAGTTACAATTTTAATTAAGATCCTCAATCACACTTATGTCCTACTGAAATCAACAGAACAGTTTGGTATGGTGTAAATAAGAACTACTGACTTGAAGGAAAAGTTTACTTCTTTTGCTTATTTATTTGGTGCTTTTGAGTCAGTGTTGACTCCTGGAGACTGCCTGGACAAGACCCTGCAGTTTTCTTGGCAAGGTTTCCAGAAGTGGTTTGCCACTGCTTGCTTCCTAGGGTTGACAGAGAGTGACTGGGCCAAAGTTACCCAGCTGGCTTCATGCCTAAGCTAGGGCTAGAACTCACAGTCTCCCAGTTTCTAGCCTGGTGCCTTAAACGCTACATCAAACCAGCTCTTTTGCTTATACTATGCATTTTTATTGCTGCAAGCCAGTATGGGAATAAATAGAAAGATGGACTACAAATACAACAAAAACACCAGACAGATGGCAATTAAATAAGATGCTATCAACCATTACTGAGTGAAATAGGCACAGAGAATTTAAATTATCCCTTCCTGGTTAGATGGTTTGCTGCTTATCTTTTGTTCTTTTACAACACACTGAGTAATTCATCAGCAGCGATAAATGTCAAATACTTCTAGGAACTGATACAATTTGCTTGAAAGGTAATAATCCTTTGATAGAATATTAATTACAACTTATGAACCTATCACTCTCTCAATGAAGTTTTGTTCATATTTTATATATATGTACATATAGATCTATATGAATGCCTGAAGTCTGCTGGTCCATACCACCTAGGCATACTAATCTTTGTATAACATGTAACCGTTATGATTGAATAGCCAGATCTTTTCAAATTAGGTAACAGCTGTATTTGCACAAGGACTTTACTGTATATATTTTATACATATATCCTATGTAATTTTGTATGCCTGACACACTAATACACTAAATCAACTGTAAACAGATTACTAGTAAAGAACTTGCTCCAAAACCGTGTTTTCTTCTCATTTTTGAATGCTTTCTTATGCTACCGGTATTTGTTATTCTAAAAGGTTCAACTACTTCTCAAAAGCATTTGTTTACTAGTTCACGTGTGGGGTGTGTAGTAAGATCACAGAGAAATCTATTCTCTTATACCAGGCTTTCCTGGATCCAATTCTCTTCAAGTGGGTTGGGCATTACAGGTTTTTTTTAACACTTCTGGAAACTATCTTACATACTCCTGCAACTGCATGTATGTTGGTCTCTTGGGAGGCCCGCATCACTTTTTTAGGCTGTTCCAGGTTCCAACTTAAAAGGACGGAGGCGAGCACTCCAGGGCCGTTCCCTCCCCTCCCCAGGAAAGCGCGTACTTTCTCCTCCTGGTACACCGTGTCGATGAGGTTGACGGAATGGAAGACTCCGTGATGGTCTTCCGACACGCACTGCCCGCAGCCCCCACGACGGCACATCCGGCAGTAGAGCTGCAGAGGTCGCCCCGGGTGCTTCTCGCAGAGACCGCCCAGGGCAGCCAGCTGTGGGGCCAGAGCGGACGAGGCCTCCTCCGCCGTCGCTTCCGGGCTCGGCTTCGCCGAGCTGGCAGCCCTGAACAGCTTCACCACCTCGGCTAGCGTGGTGTTGACGGGCAAAGCGGAGGCCCCTCCGTCGGAAGGCACCAAGCAGAGCTTGCGGCACAGCGGGCACAACAGGCTAATCGAGCCTCCGTCCCGTGACGCGCGGCCCGGAGCCCGCGGGCTCTCCTGGAGCGGGTCACGGCTTCGAGGAGAGGGCCACCATACGGAGGAAGGGGAAGGAGGCTCTGCGACGCTGGCGGCTTGGTTGAGGCACTCGACGACGCAATGGCGGCAGAAGTTGTGAGAGCAGACGGGCAGCGTGACCGGATCCTCGAAGAGCGACAGGCAGACCGCACAAGTCAGGCTGGCCTCCATTTGCGCATGCGTTGCCAGAGACCCTCCAAACGAGGGTCGGGAGGGGAGTTTGTTCGTAGCGCGCCGCGAGTTCTAAGCAGTCCCTCCGAGAAAGAAAGTTCCTCTCCTTTCCCTGACTCCCCTCACGCTTCCGCCTGTAAACAAACGCCCAGCTTCCCTCCAGTTGTCATTTACCGAGAACTACCATTCTCGGACCACGTCCCGCCTCCTTTTCCCAGTGAAAGGCCAATTAGGAACAAAATGAAACCGGTAGCGTCCGAAGTCCTTTCCCTCCCGCCTCTTAATACCATTCCAACGGATAATTACTTCAGATTGGCAGTATTCTCCGCCAATGAAAGTGCAGGCTCCACCTGTGAGCTGAACGGAAGACGGAAATGAGTTGGAAAGAAATGGCACGTCTAGCGGACTCTGTGCTTCATAGCGTCTTCAGCGAACGGGTCGATGGCGTCCTGAGACTTTTAAAAACTGCCTTCCTCACGAAGTGCTAAATGGATGGAGAGAACTCGGAATGCCGTACAATCCTATTCATGTCCTTTCAGAATTAAGCCCCTGTGGGTTCTGGTGATATGCTACCACTTGAATAGGTCGAATGTTACTGGAAAGAAAAGTCTCCCTTCTGTTTTTTGTAGCAATATAAAGGCTGCAAAAGCTATGATTTTCCAACCCCCCGAAGCTTTAAAAACGAAGATGTCAGTATATGCTGCTCAAATTAAAATGAAAGGTTACAGATTTAGAATAAAGAGGCATTACAAGAGCAGAGATCAATGTCTATTTCAGTATATGAATTTCAAAAGGACCCGGTGGTCTCCTTCGTTCTTTATTATTCCTCCTTCTGCTTGCATTTTTTAAGGTTGTGTGTATGATAACATCTAGATGATATCCATGTAACTGCAAGGGAGTTTATTGAAGTACTGACTGCATTTCTAACTCCTACTCTACCTTGGAAATGAAGCAGAATAGGGGTTCCTTCTGCACAAGAAGTAAGAGAGGCAGCATGGAGAACAGCTTTTTTGATGATGCTGATCTGCTGGCACTGAAGGAACTGTTTTTCTTCTGCCATCCCTGGTTTTGTTTTTCCTTCCACTCAGGTTCAACTTTTGACTGGGAAAATGACCATACACTGTTCTTAAAGTGGGTTGGGGTGAAGTTAGGCAAGTTGTGTATGGGAGGGTGACTAGGATGAGAATTTAGCCACTTTTCAAGTTGCTCAGGTAACATATCACTGGTACAGAGATTTATCATACTGGTAATCAATAATCCAGCCTATTTATGTACACAGGTATACTGGTCTTCTGAAAGCTCAGGTGACAGGAAGAATGGTAAACCTGTTTACCCATCTACAATATGTGTAGTAAGCCTCTGTCCAAAGATAGCCTGGCTGACAGGTTGGTGGAGTGGAAGAGGGATGTATGATGAAGCTTTCAGCCATCTTTCAACCAGTGACCTGTCAGATGGGCTATTTTTGGACAGAGATTTACCAGTCTTACAGAAGACCAGTGGACAGTTCTACTATTCTTTTCTTCACTTGAACTAGAAGGGGAAACTGACAGAATTCTTGTCAATTTCACACCAGCTTTGAATTTATCCTGAATTCATAAGCATTGCAAGGAAATGCTAGGAGCAAGTGGCTACAGCACTTAGGAGTATCTCATGGAGTACACAGAATGGTGTTAGAGTAGGTAAAATGACACTGTCTCATGTCATTTGCATGGCATATTCTTCTGTAGGACAACAAGCAGGGACAAGGTGAAAGAAGTTACCACATTACCTGCTCAGATCAGCTGAAATTCTTGAATTATTCGGCTATACACTGGTGCCTTGCCTGAGAAAACACCAGTGTTTTCAGGAACGCAAGTGAGGCCTGAGATATGCCTTGGAAATAAAACAAGGTCAAACTATATGTGGGAAGATTCCTTTTGAAAGGAGCAGGGAGACCTATAGCCCAAGAAGAAATGACCATGGAGGGCAATTGCTAGAGACTGGAAGGGAGAGTGGGTCCCCACACTAGAATGCACAAGCCAGTTTGAGTGCTAGTATTATCTACAACAAAATGAAGAGCTGCAAACACACTACAGAGCACTGGTTGTGCCAGTAAAAGTCTGACTTCTGATATAAAGTAAGAAGACCTGGGCAGAGGTTTCATGACAGGGGGCCTATTGAAGACAACATACAGTACATATTCATGTTCTTGACAAACAATTAGTGGGGCATCTTTTTATTTATTTACCTTCAAGTCATTGTTGACTCCTGGCAACTGCCTGGAGAAATCCCTGCAAGATTTCAGAGGTGTTTGCCATTGCCTGCTTCCTAGGACTGAGAGAGTGTGACTGGCCTAAGGTCGCCCAGCTTCATGCCTAAGGCAGGACTAGAACTCATGGTCTCCCGGTTTCTAGCCCGGTGGCTTAACCACTACACCAGACTGGCTCTCTAGGGGCATCTTTATAGCAGGGAAGAATTAGAGTTTTCTATATCTCTTGGCTGCCATCTAATAGCCTTCTGAATTTTTGCAGCTCAGATATAGTAATTTTGACATCATCTATCTGTTACTACCTTTTCAGCCCTAGTGGCATGCGCGTGTGCAAACTACCCTTTCTGGTAGTGAAACTGACTCCTAGCCTACCTCTGTTTCTCTTGTTCTTTTTCTCTCTCTCTCTCTCTCTCACACACACACACACATACACACACACACACAGACAGAGCGAGAGAGAGAACATGTCAGAAAATTCAGGCTTGATAGCTTAACTTCAATTTTTATTAGGTTTGTCTGGATATAACAGTGACAGATAAAGTGACCAGAACAAGATCATGCCTTTGTTTCCCCCATTTAATACAGGGCTTTGTATTACTTGGACAAGGAGCTGTTTTAATACAAATACTTAGCCATGGTTTGCTTAGTTACAATTATAGTTGGCTGGATTCACATGTACCACACCAAATCACATTCTGACTTATATTGTGTAAACCCAGTCAAAACATGGTTTGAGCCTGTGTTGTGTGAAACTAGTCACTGTGGTTTTATTCCATACTCATAGCATAGTCTGTTTGAAAACCTAGCTAAATGTTTTATATTCAGTAATCCATGATTAAACAAACCATGATGGAGTCCAATGTTCAAATACAATTCATACAGTACTAAGTATAACAATTTTTTTTTTAAATGAACACAAAAGCCCTGTAGGTAAGTCTAAAGTCTTAAACCAGCCCTGCTCACTAAGCACATGCAGTGAATACTTATCAGTCGTCTACATTTCAACAGCCACAGTTAATACTAGCCACAGTTTAGAGCTCAGATGAAATGTGAAATTTAAGTTTCCTGAAAGCAGATGTGAAAATTTCTGATCTTTTTATGGTCACATAGGAGTGGAATTGAAAGTATGCAAGCCTGGGGTAAGGGAGACACATTCCTGCTGTAACAAACCATTATAGCCATCAGGAAGATAGTCAGATGGTGTTTTTATATATGATAACTGCTGTGAGATTATTATACTGTATGCACAAAAATGGAAAGACTCTGAAATACCCACAAAGGAAAAATGGCTGGTAAAGATGACAGAATTAGCAGAGATGGCAAAATTGACTTGTTTGATTAGAGAAAGGACAATAACTACATTTATTAGTGACTGGAAACCTCTTATAGAAATACCCACAAAGGAAAAATGGCTGGTAAAGATGACAGAATTAGCAGAGATGGCAAAATTGACTTGTTTGATTAGAGAAAGGACAATAACTACATTTATTAGTGACTGGAAACCTCTTATAGACTTTTTGCTGAAACAAAAAAATGAACTTGTGGTTTATGGGTTTGATGATTAGAAAGGGTAAACTATGAAAAGAAGGAAATTATGTTGTAACCTTAGAGAGGATAAAATATACAGTAAATGTACTTGTAATTGGTGTTAAGAATATTGGAAGCCACTTCTTTATAACTTTTTCTTTCCTTTCTCTTCTCTATTTCTTTCTTTGTACTTTTTTCACTTAGCTATTACTTTTCTTTACTTTCCTTACCTTTTTTCTTTCAAAATTTGTATTCAGCTATACAAAGATTTCCTGAAATAAACTTTTTGATTTAAATCACTATTTATTGTTTTGCAGAGTGTACTATAAAATATTTAATACAAACCATTATGATTTCCATGTATATATGCCAGAACAGTTATATCTGATAAGTTAGTACATATTTGCCACAAATATATACTGCATTTAGCAAAACGTTTGTCATACAGCAGGCATAAAATAATACTACTCAAAACCCTAACATATAAGTAAGAAAACAGATCTTGAAAGCATTAAACAATAATAGAAGATGTGATAGGCAACCCCCAAACACCCTTGACAATATTTATGAAAGAGGATGGTTACTTTGACTGAAATAAACTAATAACACAAATGAAAGTTTAATTGTCCAGTAAATATTAGCACTTAGTTTAACATATGCTTATGTTCCATATAAGTCCATGCAATATAATAGGATTACATTTAGCCATTAATTTAGAATGATTCCTAAAAATAGATATTAATCATACTTGTACATAGCTTGCTGAAGTAGAATTGATGAAGTCTTCATAATAATAAAAATTGTGATAAAGAAACATTAGGAATGTATAAATCAACCTAACAATATGAAACGTAACTACTTAAAAGATTATCTCAGTGATTTCAAAATATTGGAGACCCGAATCTAATGTCACTGGCCCTTCCCTACCTCATGACCTACTGACCACAATGGGCAGTAGGGTATAGATGGAGAGTTAAGGATTTACTCTGTGTCTTGGCTTTTTCACTCTGCTGCTACAGACAGTCCCCTACTTGCAAATTTTCATGTTGTGAACTTTCACCAATATGAACAAGATGGACCTGGAAGTCAGAACTGGAAGTCAATCCGGAAGTCAGAACTGGGAGTCAGGAGAAGGCGGGAAAGGTTTGATCGCAGCATGCCGCACATTAACCCTTTCCCACCTTCTCCCGCTTTCCATTTGCATTTGAAGTTTGCATTGGAGTTGGAGATCCCAGAAAGGGTTTGTTTACGTGGTATGCTCCATTGCCAGGCAAGGCAGGAGAGGGGGCAGTGGCAGAGGACAGGGACAAGGGACAGAAGTCTCCTGCCTTGACTGGCAATGGAGCATGCCATTCCCCACCGGCTCGTTCCTCGCTCCCCTCTCCTCCGCTACCACCCCATCCTCCTGCCTCACCTGGCGACACATTGGCAGCAGAAGATAGGGCTCCTCTGCCCACACTGCTGCCCTGCCTCCTGCCTCCTTCTGTTTTTTTTAACTTGGTTGGACTTACAAACAAAATAGACTTATGAACAGCTTCTTGGAATGTAATCTGTTTATAAGTAGGGGACTGTCTGTATTTGTCTACAAGATTGCTAATCTGAGATCACTTCCTTCTGCCTTTCTTCCCAGGCACTTACGCACAGGGGCTAGGCTTTGCCTATGCCAGTACTGTAATATATTTCTTGGAAATCTATTTTCTGATATAATTATGAAACCTAATAATTCTACAAGTGAAATTCCTGCTTGCTGAAATGCTTACTTGCACACAGAGAGTTCTTGTAACATCAAAGTGCCTACTTTCAAATAATTTTAGAAGTGTGCTTTGGATGAGATGACACTAGTAGATATGAAACAAATGAAATCTGAAATGTTGAAAAGGAGCTAAATAAGCTGTTGATTGAAAATCTGTGTTTAAATTATGTATCTTAGAAAAGATAAGGCATTGGATGATCATACTAGAAAATATGTGAGATCTCTGTATCATATAACATCTTCATTTCCAAAATTATTTTCTTTGTTTTAATAATCTTCAGTATCACCAGCACAGATGGCAAGTAAAGCTCTCTCATAATGTCCAGAGGAAAAATGCTGCAAGTTAAATAAGAATTCATTAAATATTTGTATTTAGTAAAATTGTACTAAATAACGTGCAAGAATTAGTGGGCTTTTTGAAAATAAAACATCTGACAGTAGTTTTGGGCTTAGTTATGTAGGTTTAAAGATCAGGGCAAGTAAGTTGAATGGGATTTGAAGATTGTTTGGGCACAGCTTTCTCTGCTAACAGAAGAGGCCAATGCTGTGGTAATTCTTCAGTTGCTGCAGCTGTTCTTTCTCATCTTGCTTGCATTGCCAGGCAAAATAACACAAAAAAGATAAAGAAGGGCAGTTGTTTCAATTAAATAGGCATGATCTAATTTGGACTTTGCTGTTACATTATTCCTTACTATTTAATTAATATACATATCTATACCCCACTTTTCAGGGACAAATTGAGAAAACTGCTTACAAACAAGAATCAGTTGGACACAAGCATGAAAAAATGTATGTGAAAATGACACTGACATTATGAACATTGGGAAAATAAAACGAAATCTGAAGTTGTTGAGAATGGAATGCATGTATTAATAATCTACTCAGGAAAATCCAGTTTCATGATGTTTCAGTTTCATCATGCTGCAGACTCCATCCCTTTATAGGTTCATGATGTCACAATACACAAAGGGGGGCAGCCTTACATAAACTACTACTTTTGTCATTCTGCTTCTCTCATGGATCCCACTGTGACCCCTAAAATGTTGGCAAGGTATAATTCCCAGCATGGCCAGTGATGAAGGATGCTAGGAGCTGTAGTTTGACCACAAAGAGTGCCCAGTAGTTCCACAACCTGTTCTATGAAAATTTATAGTATTTATATGATTCTAGGGCATGTCCATAGCTAGGCCTGACACATTTTTATAGTGGGTGTGTATGTGTGTGTGTGTGTGTATACACACATACACGTATGCATATACCCATACATACATACATACATACATATATAATATGTGTGTGTATGTTTTCTGTGTAGTATTAATTAATGTATAAACTTTGGAATAGTAATCCCTGATTTACATGGACAGATATTTTACTTGCTTTTTTTCTAGATTGATATGTTAATCAAAACAATCCCTTTTGTTGTAATATTAAAGTTGTAGTAATATTTTATGCATGTATTAGTGAAGGTATTTAATCTCTGAACTACATTGCTGTGTTTGTTGTTTTCTGTTTTCTTGACTCCAGATGTGATACTGGAATCAAGTTTCTACTTCCAGGAAGATCAAGACAAAATTAAATTTGACTTTCAATAAAAGTATGCGTAATTCCACGGTAAATCTGTTTGCAGCTGCAGTGTATATTTCTATAGGAGACAGAAGTATTATATTCGCTGCCTTTATATATAAAAAGGTTGGATAAAAATATAACAATAATGAATAATAATGTTTTCTGTATCATGTTAGAGGAAATGAAGGGGACATGATGCAACCTGTGTTAAGATACAAGATCATTGCCTATTGCAAACCAATTATTTATTCTCTTCCTTGATTTTTAAGGTTCTCCATGAATGCTTAGAATAACTGTTTTCTCTTTCTTAATGGCTTAATTATATCACTTCAAGATGTACAACCTTTTGCTATTAAGTTGTATCTTGTGGACTTACCTTAATATCATGGAATAATGTTTTTCCATATCTCTCTTTATATTGTTGCCTTATATTCATCAAATCTATTTCACTTCTGGCAATCAAAATCCTTATAACCGTTTTGTTGTGGAAATCTAACTCCTGGAAGGGAATACAAACATCTAACAGTTTCAGCAACCAAACAATGGTAAATTATTTTCTGTCCTAAGGAATAAAGATGAATAGTTACAAGATTCACTAAATTATGCACTGTATACACCAGGAAGCCAAACAAAGGTGGAACAATTTAAATGGGCACATTTAGAAATATGTTAAGCTATACTTGTTATTCTTGGACAGTAACTTATTCCAGTTTTGACCAAAGGGGTGGGGGCGGGGAGGAATCAGACAAAATCTCATTGAAAACGCATATGTTTTAAAATATTTTTTTGTATGGTGTAATTTAAGGTACCTAACATGTTTTGATAGAAAAGAATTATATATTTATAGTCTCTACATGAATAGTGCTCATAAGTATTGCTAAAAAGGAATATTTCCAGTGATATTATTTAGGCTTGATGTAATTGTATAAGGAAGTAATTATTTAGATACTGACTTTGGGAAAAGAATTTTTTCCAACATAATACCCTAAAGTTGAGCTTGAATTTAATGACCACCAGGATATGTCAATGCTGTTTTATTGGCAATAGTACAGAAATGGTTTCCATTGCCACCTTCTGAAATACTTTTTTTGATTTGATTTGAATGTCATATGAAAAAAAAGGATTTTATTTGAAACTTTGTTTCTCCTGCTTATCTTTTCCTCAGCTCAGAATTTTTTCCCAATAAGAATGCTCAATAGTATGTTAGCTATGATAAGTAGTTAATTCTGTGTTTTAAATTTATTTATTTATTTATTTATTTATTTATTTATTTATTTATTAGTTATTTATCAACTTGTATGCTGCTTCTATCACAAAGTGACTCTAGACAGCTTAAACAATAGGATTAAAACATCAAATAAAATAACAAATAAAAATGTAGGTGAGATTAAGGATGCATTTAGACTATGCTTTTATTGTACAATCACCCTGCCTCATTTCGCAGAATATTGCAGTGAGGCAACATTGCCTTTTATCTGAACCCTTTTCATGTCCCCCCCCCCCGCAATTACCTTGATCTTTTCTTCGTACCAAAATAAATGAGTTCAAAGGGAAAATATGAAGTAACTTCAAAGTACATTTTATTGGTAGAGTAAGAGGCATCCATCTTTTGAAAAGCAGCTTTTCAATGTTCAGAAAAGTGACTCAACTTCAGGGGTTACATACTTAGTTAGTATAACCAGTATCTTAGTATTTATCTACAAGTCCCCCCCCCACCCCGGAATAATTCACTTTAAAAATGGGAGTGTTGTTTTAGAGAGAATGTAGAAAGGGAAGCAAGCAATTTTTTTCAACCTAATATTCCTGGGAGTGGGTTTGTCTTAAATTTTGGGAAGGTGTACCTATAGTTACATAAATGAGTTTGGGTACATAGTTCATGAAACAGTAGTGACATCTAGTGGACACAGTTATGAACAAGGTTTTTGGGTTTTTTGCTGAGGTGACCAAGAAGCAAGATTAATTTGTGGGTTACTTACAATGGATTCTTAGGAAGAAAGAATTCTTAGAAAGCTTGTAGGATTTTATTTTTATGATGGAATTTATAAATTATAATTAAATAATTTTGTTCCTGATATCCTGCTTTGATATCTTTTTTGCAATTACATTATTGTGCCAGATATCCTTGAGATTGTAACTGGGAAATGCTTATAGGGAATTTTAAAAGCTATATTCCCAATAGATTTGGAAGCTCCGAATTTGGACAAATTATCTAGATTTAGATTTTACAAATGCAGGTGAAAGGTTTTGAATGAGAAAAATATATAAAATTTTCTTTTTGTCAGTGCTTTTAAATTCCTGGCATTGGGAATTTAAAAATCAGAGAGACTTACAGCTTTAAGCCATAAAGGTATACTGGGTTGTTTTATTTTATCTCTTAGGACAAACTATTTTACAAAGTGGCTATGAAAATAAATATGAAAAGTACATTTTAATCCAAGTCAACATATTTTGTGACAAATACCTGAAGGCCAAATATGTTGCATGGTTGGGAAAGGAAGATTATTTTTGTTTGTTTATTGTGAAATTAAATGCCTGGCTGAGGGTAGTGAACCCATTTCTTTTCTACAGATTACTTTTTCTTCTGCTTAAAGCTATTTTTCTTTCAGCATTGTTCCAACACAGGTAGTGAGGAAAGGTGGCTTTAACTGTCTATCTGTACCTTCCTTTTTGTCTTACTAGAAATGAATGTGCACGCTTATTCATATTCACATTCGTTTTAAAGTATGACTGCCTGCCATTTGTATTTTGGAGAAAAGGGGACAATATAATGTCATTCATTTGAGGAAGCCCTCATAAATGCTGTAGATTTATTGTGTTCTAACTTGCCATCTGAACTAACAAGGCAGAGCTCATTCTTAGGGGACTGGGAAAAAAAAACCTTGCAAGGAACCTAATAAGAAATAAGACTTTTAATGTAAACTACCATGATTTGGCAATATACAAGGAGAATAAATAAATTGGAGCATGGGACAATGGCAGCTTGCTGATAGGAGCTTCTCTCCTGTCACGCTATGAAGTTTGTGGTACCTTTATTAACTCTTAGTATTTAATCCATGAGTTAAGCTAAGAAAGCATGGGCAGGGAATTCTTGGACCCCACCCACCAGGTCACATTTTCATCCTCTAGCATGGGTGTACAAAGATGCACTTGTTCAAAGCCAACTGCCCAATGTTTAACACTGCTAACCTACCCCCATTCCCTTTTTCCTTCAGGTTGGAAGATTTAAAGAATCTCTGAAAAATCCTCCATTGGATTCTCTCTACTGGAACTTACAATTAAAATTACTGTATTTTGACCACTTTTCCTAACAGCTCCCATGCTGAGGCACAGGAGGAAAAGAGAAGGATAGAGAATCTGACTGCAACAACAAACGACATTGTGATGAGACAAACTCTTCTTATGTAAAAGAAAAACTTTAGTTAAGATAAGCTCTGGAATTGAAAATATGTGAAAAATAGATTCCATTGAGCTCATACAGTTGTTAGATCTGGACGAAGATTTGGATTTGGATTATCGACATCATTTGTTAACAAGAGCAAGTTACAGGTTTTAACTAACAGCTTCTGTGAATACTTAAGACTCATAAAGAATTATTGCAGTGGAGTGAGAAATTGGTGTAAGGTAACCTTGAGTACTTTGGATTTACATAACAAGTCTGTAGAGTCATATTTAAGTTATTTCCTACCTTCCTATTGCAAAATATAAGAAGAAAACCCACTAGATGGCATTAAATGATATCCTTTAAATGGACATATTCCAATTTAAGGACTACATATGCTTTGACTATAAAGACTGTGTATGGAAAATATTTTGCTACTTAAAAAGAAAGAAGGGGATGGCAACAAGCTATGCTAAGAGAGATGGGAAAAAAGGGGAGGGGAGGAAAGAGGAACAGACTCAGTTATGCTTAATCAAATGTTCAAGAAAATAACAGTACAAATGACAAGACTGAGTAAGAACTTTCAACAATCACAACAGATGGTCATGAATACGATAATCCATGAAAGCTGGTTGACATGAAAGCTGGTTTGAAAACAGAGATGGAGGATATGACAGCTGATTTAAAACACAGATTATGATCATTGTGAAGAGTGTGTTCAGGCTAATACTCAACAAATTACAAAGTTAAAAGAAAAACAAGACAATTTGACACAAGACCTGAAGGCCCAAGGGTGAAAGGGCCAAGAAACAGAAAGAATAATGGGTGCATTAGAATCTCAGCAAAGACAATCAAATATATGACTTGGGTCATCCCATAAGTTTTTGGAAAGGGAGATATCAAAAGCCATTCCAAAGCTTTGATGCACAATTATGTAAAAACAGAGATTTTCCAGATATTAAATACATTTTTAGAATAAATTTCTCATCTGCACAAAGAAGAAAAGTGCTGCAGAATATCCTTGTAAGATTTATACACCAGAGAACAAGAGATGCTATTCTAAAACAGCAGATTGGGATATACCTTTAATTACAGAATGGAAGTAAATTCAAATATTTCAAGATGTCTCCCCTAAAATGTTAAGAAAAAAAGGAAATTCACATTTCTTACAAACCACTAACAACCAAACAAATTAGATATAGTTGGAGAATTCCATTTGCATTTGAAGTCTTTCTGGTAAGACAAAGAATAACCACTAGGACAACCACAGAGGCTTTCTCTTTATATGAAAGATTAACTGCTCAGACCTAACAAAGAACTTTCTGGCATTGGAATGGATATCAAAGATGAAGAAAAGGGGTAACTTGGTATAGCTGCAGCATTAAACTGAAACCAAACTGAAACAAAAAAGGATAAGTTAACATTAATTGCATTAAACGTAAATGGACTCAATTACCTAACCAAAAAAGGGACAATTTTTAACAAGCTCCAAACATTTAAAGATATTGTTTGCTTATAAGAAACACACATATAAGAAGATCATGACAACTTGTTAAGACAGAAAAAAATTGAGTCAGGAATGCATAGCATCAAGAAAAACAAAGAAAAATGGAATAGTAATTTATGTTAAATCATGTTCCTGGGAAGTATTAGAATAATTAAAGAACAAAAAAGGAAGAATTTTAAGCCTGAAATTAAGAAAATAATATACAGTTTTAACACTGGCATCCATTAACGCTCCAAATAAAGATAAGGAACAATTTTATGAAAGATTTTTGCATATGCTTAATAGACAACTTTATGGGAGACAAGTAAAGCTTTCATGAGAAGAATTCTTGTAAGACTTGCAGTGAACTGGAAAGCCGAATGCAGAAATCACAACTGGTAGGAAAAATAAAGAAATTAAAATAAATTCACAAAACCAATCCAAGAACCAACAATTAGATTTATTGGAAATGAAAGAACTCCAGAAGAAGAGGAAATATGTCAAATAAATTAATTGTAAGAACCAGACAAACCAGGAAAATTTTTGGCACACCAAATCAGAAAGGAGAAAGAGAGAAGGATGGTAACAGTGATAGAGAAAGATAATAAATTGTTATATACAAGATTGGAAACAACAGAAGAACTTGCAGATTTTTTTAAAGTAACTATAAGTATAAAATTGACAGGGAAAATATGAAAACATACATAATTCAGAACTTAAAGAACTCACAGAAGAACACAGATAAATATTAAGCAATCTATAGTAAATCAAGAGATTAAAGAATCAATAAAGAAAATGAAAACTGGAAAGCCATCAGGCCCAAATGGGCTGACAGCCCAATATTACAAAAAGTTAGAGGAGAAACTGGTGGAACCATTATTGAAGACAGTGAATGAAATTCAAACAGTTTAAACAACAAAAACCAAATACATGAGATGAAGCATATATAACTTTAATACATGAAGAAGGGAATGACCCAAAGAAACATCAGTCTTACAGATTGCTTTCTTTATTGAATATTCATTATAAGATATTCACTCCTATATTAGCTGAGCTATAAAGAAATGTATTTCCAAAATTATACATACAGATCAGACAGGTTACATTCCAAAGAGAAAGATGATGGGTAACAGCAGATTTATTATAAATGCATTTCTTATTATTAAAAGTAAGAAAAAGAAGTTAGCAGTTATATGTTTACATGTGAAAAAAGCCTCCCAAAACTTGGAATACACTTTTCTACTGGAGGTTTTAGACAAAATGAATCCTGAAGAAGAATTCAAAACCTTGGAGGAGAGCATACCGTATTTTTCCGACAATAAGACGCCCCCATGT